GGAAAGTGATGATAAGGTCGACGACGGGGCATGCACACCTAAATAATGCCTATTCACTTTCGCCTTGACAAGACCCAAGTTACAACGTTCAGGGAATAAGTCTGCAGGTAGGGAATTTCCCTACGAGTACATAGCCGTTCGCCATATAAATGTGGAAGCGTAACGCTTCGTGCGAATCTTTGGAGTATCCACAACATAAGGGTGGAACCCAGGCCTATGTCTACTCCCCCGGTATTGGTTGAACATAGAACTGCTGCTAATTGACCGATAGTTGTTGTGGCAACTTTTCACAACAGCAAGGATAATAGTAAAATATTTATAGTTATTTATAGTAAATTTATATTGTAATCTCAAAATTGTATAGAACATGACTTCTTGTTTGCTATAAAATAAACAAAAGAAGTATAAACGTCTGTTTGTCTAAATGAAAACTAGTTGTTGCCCGCGACATCGTCCGTGTAAAATTTTTAGATGCATTACATACTAATAACACACAAAACATACAAAATTAAAAATATTCAAGTTTGCAAATGTAAGGAATATGATCTTCCATGGAAAAGGTTTACTGGTAAGCAACATACCTGACCATAACAGTTGTAGTGCCACTCAGTGCTTTAAATCTCAAAGTTCTGAATAGTACTGCCACTACGCGTGTCACTCTGAGACATACACACATCAAAAAAAGTTTGCGATCACTTCGAAAAACTGAAATCTTTTTTGTTACTGTAGATTATATTATGATTTTTTCTTCTTTTTAGATTCTTTATTTAAAAATAAATTAGAACATAAAACAATGACCCCGTTCAATTGTTTTTTCGTATAAAAAGGCTTTCAGTCCTAGCTTACGCTCATTCAGAAATCTGATTTAGTCAATTATAAGCGATTCAAGATATTTTTCGCGGAAAGTTGTGATTGAAAAAATGCCAAGAGGATTATCAGAGGTTTTACGAGCTAGAATAGTAACTTTGAGGGAAGAAGGATACACCACGAGAGTAATAGTACGCAGACTTGCTATATCCCAATCCTGTGTCGTGGCTACGTTGCAGAGGTATCACGGAATGGGGAATTTAGCTGACCGACCCCGCAGCGGTCGCCCAACTGTTTTGACAGCTGCCCAAAAGCGCTATATTAGATTGCTGGCAGCCCGTGATCCAACAATCAACGCCACTAAAATAAAAGCAGAAGTCAGGGCCGCCTCTGGGCTTGAAGTTAGCACGCACACCGTTCGCAATTGCTTGCACCAGGCTGGATTACGAGCACGGAGGTCTTGGCGAGCTCCGCTCGATTCCCGGCAACGTCAACAACGAAGATTGCAGTGGGCTAGACTTCGGCAAAATGAAGAAGGTGAGGACGAAAACATTTGGCAAAACTGTCTCTTCGTTGACGAATCCCGAATCAGCACTCATCCAGATAACCGACGTGTCCGTGTCTGGAGAAGACCAGGCGACCGTGAAAGACAAAGAACTGCCACTGGAACAGTTCAGCAAGGCGGAAAATCGGTGTCCTTTTGGGGTGGCATTATGATTGGAGCTAGAACGCCTTTGATCCCGTATCGGGGCTTCATGACAGCAGACATGTACAAAGCAGTTGCTATTGATGATATCGTCAGACCATTCCGAGTAAACCATGGGTACCAATATGTACTGGTCGATGATAATGCGCCCGCACATCGAGCTCAACGAGTCAATGCTGCTCTTCAAGAATACGATATCACACGATTAGACTGGCCTGCCGGCTCGCCCGACTTAAACCCAATAGAGCACGCGTGGGATGCTCTTAAACGAGCAGTATGGAACCGTAAGCCACGTCCCCAGACAGTTCCAGAGCTCAGGGAAGCCGCTATTGAAGAATGGGATAGGTTACCCCAGGAAATGCTGGATAACTTGATCCTCAGCATGCCCAGGAGGATCTTCGCATGTATTCGAGCCAGGGGAGGAGTTATTTTATATTGAATTCACACCTTTTAATAATAAATTGTTGTTTAAGTTTAATTAAACAGTCTTTTTCTTTCTATGAAATTTCTATCACTATTACATTATGATTAATGGCTCAATTTTTTAAAATAAATAATAAAAAATAGTTTTATATTTTAATTTCAAACAGGGTATTCCTATTTAAAGAAAGCATACAACATAGATTTTTTCTTGATAAAGTTAAATTTAAAGAATTATAGGAGCTTATGCTATTGATCGCAAACTTTTTTGATGTGTGTAAATTGTCAAGTTCCATTTGCCTGTAATTTCACTAGCACCCTTACCTTACCCTTCTAAACCGGAACGCAATAATGCTCACTTTACTATTTGGCTCTAGAATAGTTAAGGCAAATTTCCCTGGACGAACTCTTTCACAAGGAGCTCTACTAAATATACTTCGACATCCCACAAACTTACCCCTTTTTAGAGGTTGTTTTAAAAACCCTGATACACGTTTTGTTTATTTCATATTTGAAGTATCCAAACCAAGTTCGAAGCAAATCGCTCCACACGTTAAAAAGTTACCATACAAACTTTAATACCTTATTTCATTCTGTAGTGATAATTTTGAAAAAAAAAAAGTCCATATATTCCATTTGCATTATGGAATATTAATACTAAGTTCATCTTTTTTACCTCATTTCACCCTTTTAGGGGTTGAATTGCGAAAAGATCCGTTCTTAGTACGCCTCAACACTAAATAAAAGTTACATACTCTCAAGTTTTCATGATTCTAGGGCTTACAGTTATTGCTGTGTATACTTCTAGCAGGGAAATACTCCGGACCGTACTTCTTTATATATATATATATATACATATGTATTATCGTATCGTATATAGTATCGAAAATTATCGTACATTTATTACTTAATTTTTTGTTTTGTTCTGATGCTTTTAGAATTATTGGTTAATTATGTTCTTAGCGTAATATTCAAATCATAATGTTGTGTTAATATTTGTATTACTACTAAGTTACTAAGGTTTAATATAACCTATAATATGTTTTTTTTTTTATAAAATTTGTGCGCATATGACCTCCACCTCATCTGATGGAAAGTGACGATGAGATTAACTATGAAGTATGTACACCTAAGTAATGCCTATTCACTCTCGGCTTGAAAAGGTCCAAGTTATGTTAAAAGTACGTCGATTAAAAAGGTACATATACATTGAAAGTGCCTGAAATGTATTGGGCCAAGAGGTAGCTGGCTTTCTGTATGAGTAGAGCAAAAACTGGGACACGAGCGTGACGCAGGTATCAACAATCTACTCGATACAAATAAAGTGCAACTCAGAAGTATTTCGATACCTCCCTCGTAAGTTGTTGTAAGTCAAAATACCATTTCTTGCTTTTTAACTGCATTATATCCTTTTTATGGTCCTATATTATAGGTTACATGTTTGAAAGTAAATATAACACTAAGTGATTTCTTTACTTTTCGTTGTTGTTAGATCGATTTTAGAAGTCATTTAGCAAAATGGGGTTTTGCAAAGAAAAATAGTCTCTACTTCTGAGAAACATGCTTGAACTAGGTCGAGACAATAAACTCTAGACGGGTTTTTACAAATGATATCAATATATAGTTCGAACAGTTTTCAGCATTAATTGACACAGTTATGGACAATACTCAACCACAAACTGAAATTGCGCATATCTCGCAAGAACTACCGATGTCACCGCCCGCACCGCAAAAGGAAAAACGTTAAAAACTGAAGGAGAAAGCGGTAATTTGATCAAAATTGTTCTCGTTAAATCATAACCAAAATCAAGTTAAAGTCATAAGTCAACGTTCTAACTATCTAAACATGAACACTATTGTAAACAGAGATAGATTCCATAAATATGTACTTATTTATTAGCTGTTACAGTACATGTACAATAATGTATTATTATTTTATCTATATGTAGGTGTAAGAATTATGACCTTTTTATTACTGCAACTTTAGTATAGGTACTCTAATGGACCCATGGGGTAAATTTTAATTAAGTGCTGCATATAGGATAACATCTTCTATCTCACAACAATGGTATTCTAGTCTAATCAGACTAGAAATGAGAGTTGTGCGTTACAGTCAGTGCACATTGTTTACGGACGTTGTACACGTTGTAACTACTTTTCATGGTTAATAAACCAACGTTTCTGTCAAGTTGGTAATTTTTATAGAACCGGTGCTGTGGTTCTAATGCTCACAGCTATTAAACTCAGACTTAGCTTCCACAGTTGTTGGTCAATACAGAGCAAATTTGAGTAGTTTAGAATAGTCTAAAATTTTTGTGGTTTATCACGACTCACGTTTGCGATCAGGTCAGATTGGTGACGGGCGATCTTCTGGACCAAAGTCTGTCTGTCCTTATTCACTTTTCCGCAGGTGAGATTATGAACAATCATGAGCCTATTTCTAACAACAACAAAAAAAAAACAATGCTGTTTCTTGGACGTAGTTTACGTTAAGCATTGCATTAGTACGGACTATAAAGGTATTTTTACAGATTTGTTTTTTAGACTATTAAAAAAGTGATTGTTTTAGCAGTTAATAAATAAATACTTAAACGTTTAATTAGTATTTAATAATAATGGAAAAAGTGGATTTATGTAAACGTAAGCGAAAACCTCGACTTTCTGTAGGTACCAAAGTCAAAGGCCAGGCCAAAGTACTCATAATTTAAAAGCATCTATAACCATGTAAATGATTACCGTATAGTACGAATGCCTTTTCAAACAGCGCCATTATTAGCGAGTATGTAAGTAAGTAGGCATCCGTGTCCTCTAACAAAAGTATTAAAACATTGTTTACAACTGTTACTTGTTGCAAAACATTCTTTTACTTCGGAGTGTTTACACATTGTGTTACGACAAGTCTTGAACTTGGCACTATAAAACAGGGTGCTAATCAACCAACTTACAATGTACGGTGGTGTTTTACTGCCGCGTGTGGTAGGCCGTAAGAATGTGCAACGGGGAGTCTAGGTAGGTTTGTGGCAGGACAGTTGGGGTGGTGGTGAGGGCGGCGGCTCCACGCCCCTCCACTGGGGCCGTGTGCAACTCGCGCATAGACTACGGTCGCGCTGTGCCCTCGCGCATCATTCGACCTCCGCGTACCGCAGTCTTGGCAACTCAGCCCTGCACTGTACACGCGTTCGGGAGCTCGACTCTCGTAGCGACTCGACGAACAGGTCCGTGCTTCAGTGAAAGTGACATCATTCTGTCATATTGTAATCGCAACACGACATAATCGCGAGTGATTCTGGAGTTTCCTCCCAGTGCAGCCTATTATTAGCGGTGCATCGCCGCGATCCAGCAACGTAACTTTACCTGAACGATCCCAAATTAGGTGCGCCGGAGAAGCGATCCACGCGCCGCCCGCCCTACCTCGCGTAAATTCTTGACGTCTAAGGCTCATAGTACTCGGAGGAAGCTCGCGAAGCTAACACATCGTCGGTATACATACATGTGCTTGTTGAGCAATAAAGTGTCCGTTTGGATGGGATTGAACTGGTGCAGGCGACTTGGGTTTCAGCCAACCTGCGATGCACTAAACTAGAACACATTCTAATGATGAATACAATATTTCATTATAAGTGTTAAAAGTACAATACTGTTACATTTTTTTGCATTGCAGCTGTTGCTACCGCAGCAACAGCTGAAGACTGGCGTAACATAATCATAATATAACGTATACCTAAGCAATATCATACTCGGTCCCAAATGGTGCAAGTTTTGACTCAGAAAATATTGAGGACGTGCGAAGTCGCCTGCACCAGTGTTTAGTTAAATCTGATTGGTAGTAAGTTTAATATTGCATTGAACTTGTGACGTGTTTTGTTGCAGGATAAGTTAAGCGAGCACAATGCCTTTCAAACCAGCAGATAACCCCAAATGTCCGAAATGCGGCAAGTCCGTATACGCCGCGGAAGAACGCGTTGCCGGTGGCCTCAAATGGCACAAAATGTGTTTCAAATGCGGTAAGTACTTCGAAAGTGATTTAAACAATCATAAATAAGTAAACAATCGTTTTCTGCAGTTTAAAAAAATTAATACTCACTACGTTGCTCCTATTAGGGATGTTATTGCATATGTAATGGCACAGTAAAATAAATTCATTACTCCAGTTACTTTGATTTTCAAGGGCATAAAATCACGTTTGAATAACAATTGAATTGGTTTTTTCAAACGTGACTATAAAATCATTAAATTGGGCTTATTTAAACGCCAAATAAAATAAAAAGTACCTCTTGAAACGAACTTAAAATGATTGTAGTACCTAAACGTTTCTTCGCGAAAAAAACTATATATTTACCATTGACTTTTTATTTGTAAGTCAATGATATTTACCATTATAATAAGATAATAGACTACTTTCAACATTCTTACACTATCGATTATCAGGCATTAACATTTCAATCAGAAACAATCACAACCGATGAATTGAAGGTTTTTAAAACAAAATTAACGTCTCTACGTACTTATAACCAAACCCCTACAAGATCCCCACAAAATTATACCATGGTAGGAAAACAAACTTTTGCAATACGTCTAACACATACAAAGTTTGAATCAAACCAAGATTGCTTATAACATTCACAGGCCTTTGCCAGAAGTTACTGGACTCGACCAACTGCTCAGAACACGAAGGTGAACTGTACTGCAAAGTGTGCCACGCGCGTAAATTCGGACCTAAGGGCTACGGTTTCGGTGGTGGCGCTGGCTGCCTATCTATGGACACCGGCGAACACCTTAAGGATGGGTAAGTAACAGCCCTCTCCGCACTCCCTGCCGCCCGCGTCATTGAGGGTCTTTCCTTATCTGTGGTCGCATAGATGACCGGCCATCTGGCCCGTACGTAACAAAATTAACCGCGTGTACATAAACGATGCAACCTACTTAGTAGACAGCGCGCGCTGGCTGTACATTACGCGCCCCGCTGACACGTGCATGACCACTCTCCGTTTATGTCGCAACAGGGAATGATTGCAAGCAGCCATCCAGCAGAGCTAGCGGGCTGCCGACACACGTCTCGGCCATCCAGCGGCGCCTCGCAAACGCACGCCATACCATACTTTAAATTATTCTAGTTAGGATTATTTATTATTCGCTATGCTTAATTTATTTTGTTTATCGGACTATTATTAATAATTTATACAAAAATAAATAAAGAGTCGACCACCATTCACGAGTTAGATGTCTGAGAAAGCGGTCGAGGCTGCGCACACGTCGGGTAAGGGCGTGCGTCGCCGGCTCGAGCGCGCTCGCTCCCTTCCTCCTTTCCCTTCCAAGCGGGCCGACCCGAACCAGCGGAGCAACGGTGAGAAACCATGTTATAAGCCTCAGCACGGCTTAGCAATGCTCCTGACGCACCTAGATGGCATGCGCCGACAGCTACCTATTGTTATCTAACTTTCTATGCTACTGACTCTCTCTCTAACCCTAAGCTAACGCTTCCGTCTAAGCTGTAACTGTAGCCTATGTATGTGATGGGATAAGGAAAGCGCCCTCTATGTCGATATTTATAGTGCTATAGAAAGGCCGTAACACGGGCCGAAGCGGAGCGGGCGGCCGGGAGTCCTTACCTTCTCCCATTACGGCGGAGGTGCGCCGTCGGTATCAACTGCTTCGCCGCGATCCGTTTGGACGATGTTAGCGTAGAAGCAGCAGGAGGCTATTAACAACTCTTCCGTCACCGTTGTTAAGTTAAACGATAAGTGGAATGAATCTCACAAGTGTTTTACGTGCAGGGTACAGACTGTCCGTACCAACGGCGCTTGCTTGGAGCCCCGCGTGATAGCGAAGGCGCCGCCCGGCGAAGGATGTCCGCGATGCGGAGGCTACGTGTATGCTGCCGAGCAGATGTTGGCCCGCGGAAAAGTGAGTTGTACTGTTTTCAGTCTGTTCTCCTCCAAAAGTACCACTTTCGTAGCTTTGCCACCATTGAATGAATATTTAATTCTTTGTGCACGATTTAACTTTAGAGCTATCTCAAGGAGAAATTTCTTGGGAACCTGTTCAAGATGACGTTTCAAACTCAAGTACATCAGTGGAAATTATGGATATGAAAATAATAAGTTTATTCTTATACCGTAGGGGTATCACAGGCGTTGCTTCAAATGCTTAAATTGCAACAGGACACTAGATTCAATGATGCATTGTGACGGACCAGACAAAGAGATATATTGTCGAGGTATCGGAATGTTTCGTTTGTTACTCAGAAGTTATTTCCCTGGTCCTGTGCAGAATCATCATGAGTAATTGTAATAACGGCGTGTACCTGTAGGCTAGTGTCATTGTTTCTTGCATGCGGCCTCACACACCCTGATAGTTCGTTGTATGTTCAGGCGTGGCACAGGGAGTGTTTCAAATGTGGCGACTGCATGAAACGACTGGACTCCACGAACTGTTGCGAGGGCCCTGACAAAGACATTTACTGCAAAGGTTCGTTTTCTTCCTTCTGTAACCATTTTCAGCTTCCATATTGTTGCTACTTAAGCTGTTCAATATTTCTATCATTGTGTATTAATAATTTTCCTTCCTGGTTTTAATAATTGTTTTGTCTGTAGTTTGTTATGCCAAGAAGTTTGGTCCTAAGGGATACGGTTACGGAAAGGGAGCCGGTGTTCTGCAGAGTGACCCTTACGCCAATGGGTAAGAACCACTTGAGAAATAAGTCAACTTGTACTCATCTGGCGAGGGCACAGCTGTTATATTGCTGTTATATTATAATATTTACTTATATAAGTATATATGCTGTGTACTCCTCAGATGTAATGTATAAATAATGCTTCTTTGCTTTCGCTGTAGGATGCTACGCACAAAGATTTGGCCCTAGAGGTATTGGTCACGGGGGGATGTCAACCCTGGGGCTTATGTGTGATGTAAAGGATTTGGAGTGGCAAAGGTACTTGAATGGTGTTACACTCAGGACCCCAGAACAACGCAGTCTGTAGTACTGTGGATTTGTGATCATGTACACGTAAACTAGCTTAATCGACTAACGTAATATTTGCTTATAGAAATGCTTTAGCAAATGATTTTTCTTTTAATTCCAAAATGTGTTAACATTACCGATTTACATGATCACTACACCCTTTACTAATACCGCATATCAAAAAATAAAGGAACATCGCGAGCCCTCAGCAACATATTACGTGTCTCAGGTTACAAGACAGGTTCAGGTTATTTCCATCACATAGTCACTTTCATAAAAACAGCTTATAATACAAACAAGAGATGGCAGCATGCCAACGTGAAAATAGAACGCGCACTCCGGTCTCGAACGGACTAATTTTAATATCGGCGAGACTTGCCCCACGCGAGTTTTCAGCTTACAGCATGTAATAAGCCGTAAATCCCACCCACACCTCATCTTCATTGGGTCACGCACTTACCCACGACAATTCATTCGGAAAATGCAATTAGAACACTTTGATGCATATAATATACTCCTACCTATCTCTTTTGCACGGTATTAAATAAGAATGTAAATTTCATGTTCGTTAGCAGCAGTACGTGATATTTAATTACTCAATTGCAATGTGTTTCACTTTCTGATGAAAACATTGAGTTCGTGATGCGTGTTTTCAGTTTTTTTTAGCATGAGATACGGTTGTTAATTTTATGATTTGAAATATTTAGTAATTAAATTCTTAGTTTAGTTATGTCTTTACTCAGTTCTTCGTTATCATAATGGTTTTTAGTAAATCTTCTAATTTTATTGAACAGTGATCAAGCTCCGAGAACCACAGTGATCGACACCGCAGCTATCCAAGCGCCCCCTGGCAAGGGCTGTCCTCGATGCGGCGGTGTAGTCTTTGCCGCAGAACAGGTGTTGGCCAAAGGTCGTGAATGGCATCGCAAGTGCTTCAAGTGCCGAGATTGCACTAAGACCTTAGACTCCATCATCGCTTGTGACGGACCTGATTCTGAAGTCTACTGCAAGACCTGCTACGGCAAGAAATGGGGACCCCACGGCTATGGCTTTGCCTGTGGCTCCGGTTTCCTGCAGACGGACGGCTTAACGTAAGTTTCTAATTACTTTCTAGCATTCTTTAGCTCTATAATCTTGTGAAGAGTAAATAAAAGTTGATTGTTATCAATATTTTGTATTAATTCAAAGTTTGTTCTTTCGAAGTTCTGTAAGTTGTCAATTTACAGTGAGGACGAAATCTCGGCGAACCGTCCTTACTACAACCCGGACACCACGTCCATCAAGGCGCCAAAGGGCCAGGGTTGCCCGCGCTGCGGTGGCATGGTGTTTGCTGCGGAACAACAACTGGCTAAGGGAACTGTGAGTATTCTATTGGGGGTTCATTGAAGTATATCTAGGTCAGTTGGCCCATAAATAATTTGATGATAATATTGACGATATATCAACAATAAAATGTTCCAATTTAATTTGCTATACAACAATCCTGTCTGAAGGATTTCTGAGTACAAATAATTTCTAATATTGTACAAAATATGTAGGTTCTGTATAGTGTTAGGTAATGATGCAGCTGGAAAATGTAAATAATACTTTTTAAGTATCCTGTTACTTTTTATTTAGATGTGGCACAAGAAATGCTTCAACTGCGCCGAGTGCCATCGGCCTTTGGACTCAATGCTGGCGTGTGACGGACCTGATAAAGAGATCCACTGCCGTGCTTGCTATGCAAAACTTTTTGGCCCGAAAGGTTTTGGCTACGGCCACACCCCCACCCTCGTCTCCACTGATGCTGAGCCCACAGTTACGTAGTTAGTAAATATTATTATAAAAATTATTACAAAAAGCTAATCTTAAAACAGTTGTTTCAAAAGACTCTTTTGAAGTACATATTTCAGAAATTTGCTTTACCGTGTGAATATCAGATGCAATAATATGATTTGAAAATATGTTAAGTATGACGTAGCAACTTGTCATACTTTTTAATGATTTAAATAAATAATGAAGAGAAGTTTTGGATTAAAGACACCACATGTATTGAGTACCATTAATACCAGTTGTATTTAATGACACAAGAATTTTCTTCAGCATACAATTAGAAAATACGAGTCAAATATTATAATAAAATGGAATTTAATTAATTTTTTAGCACTGAACAGCTTCCCTTCACTGGTCAGAAAGCAGCCAAAGGCATGGGCTGTCCAAGATGTGGTTTTCCTGTCTATGCTGCGGAACAGATGAACTCCAAGAATGGCACATGGCACAGAAGGTGCTTCACATGTGCGGATTGCCACAGATCTCTTGTGAGTATATTTCTATATATCTGTGTGAATTTCATTTTCCGTACTATTTGTTTCATATATTAAACGGGTAAGGTAGGTGCTGTGGTACCACATGCAAAATAGACGCCATGACTTCGAGCTGCGGAAACCAGCATCTTATAACATACCATGGATCCTGGAATATAACTAGCTAGATGTAGAAATATATGCATAGGTGGAAATCTGTAATTGGCTTTATGTTTCTTTGCCTGTTTTTATTAAATAGTTGAAGCTGTTGGTTTTCCATGAATAAATAAATATCACACGGATTAAAATTAATACAGATTACGTCAATAAAAAATAGTATTAATGTTGTATTTAGGCCGGTTCATATTTAACACAGACACTGAATTAAGAACTTAAAATCACTTTATTTACTTTATAATGCAAAGTATAATTTACACATTAAATTTGATTCGTCTTCAGGTAACTACGGTCTTCGTCTTCTTCCTTTTCTAAATGCGTGTTCAGGAACTCTTCCACAGAATCAGTGTTCCATTTTTCAATGGCCACTGTGTCTTTTACTATTCCGTCTTTGTCTAGGAGTTTGATGATAGGGTCTAGCCCGCGTACATATTTGATTTGCAGGTTAGGGAATTTAGCTGGTCGCTCACTCTTCACGAAAGCCTGTATCTGAGGATACGCCGGAAACTTACAAGTACAAACTTCTAGAATAGCTCTAGCGTATTTCTTCTCAGTCGGTGCTGTATCGTCATTATGACAACACTCTTTACAATGTTCTATTAACGGTTCTAGACTGAAATCCTTTAATTGATCGCAAGATGAACATAAAAGGTTGGCCTTTATGAAACCTAGTGAAGCGCAATCTTCTGTTGATAACTCTGTTAAACTGCTCCTAGCAAGTAACGTCACAAGTAGGAATGTTAAAAAAATAGCCATCGCTATAATAATTTTACGTGATTATGGACCACGTAATTCCTTCAATAAATTGTCGTGTGTACGATGCGGTCTTGTAAATCTCGAATTTTATGTTGTCTGTCAAATTGGGCTGTTTGTTCTAAACGGTAAAATAGTATTAAACATTTGCGCAACGAGCGCATTACATAGTTCTTTCTATCTCTATCTTTTTTCCTCCGCAATGTTGCCGCAAATATGACATTAAAGAAACGAATAAAATATCGTTCAGAAAGAAAAATGGGTAGTAAGTTTCAATTTGTTCATAATCATTTTCATTAATTTTTAGTTTATGTATATTACGTTGTGCGTTTCTTGATTATTTGTTACCACTAGGCTGATGGATCTGAAGCCAATGCCTTTTATATCAATAAATAAATAAAATCGTTCAGAAATTGCAATTACTTTTTAATTCTTTGAATATGTATATAATTATATATATATATATATATAAATTAAATAATTATTATCATAAATTTAACCGATGTTAAAAGTTCTAACCTCGGTTAAATTTTCGATATATAATCGCAAAATATTTAAAAAATTTTTTAGTGTTTATTGCATATAATTATTGTTATAAGCTTAAATTAACTGCAAACGTTTGTATTTAGTTTATGGAACTTATTTATTTATGTTTTACTTCAGGATTCCACCAACTTAAATGATGGACCCAACGGCGAGATTTACTGCCGCGGTTGCTACGGCAGGAACTTCGGGCCCAAAGGTGTAGGTTTTGGTTTGGGTGCAGGCACATTGACGATGGCATAAGACTATGAAGCTGGACTTTATAGGAACCATTTCGTTTGAGTGGTAGCTTGAAAGGAATATAATCTGACGCAGACCACGCTACCAAAAGATCATACCATTAATTAAACTGGTTTTAATAATGGTTGATACAATCCTATGAGACTAATGAAAGTAGAATATTAAATAATTGTATTATAAGTGCAAATATTTTATGATATATAAACATTACATAAATTAAAGGTTACATTCCTTTCATATATGTACAAAACGTGATTGGTGAATGTGTCTGGGCCCTTGGTTTATAAATTCGTCATAAAATATTATAGTATGTAAGAAATATAGACTTAATTGTAGATAAGTAAGAATAAATTAATAAATTAAAAAAAAAAAGAAAAAAAAATTATATGGCATTGTGATGAGTCGTGCCTTTATACATCACCCTGTGATGTAGAGGTAAATGCAAGACTATCCTGTAATCACGGACAAGATTGCAATAAAGCAATCGTTTCGACCGACCAGGTCTTACTTTGAAGATCTGAAGCGTCTATTCTATACATATTTTTATACACCAAAGATTTTGTATATAGTTATATTTGAGACAGCAATAGCTGTGCTAGTGTAAATTAAATTCTAACTATGTATATGCTTTTAGAGCTTTTGCTATATAACATTATCCAAATTAAAGTAATGATAAATTTACGGCAGCTTATTGCATTATTTGACAATAATCGACGATAATATTGTTTAAACTTATTTTTTTTTTAATAAATACGAATTAATTTAAATAAATTTTGTTTTATTTTGGGAGATTTTAAGTTAAAGTCGAATTCATGCTTTAAACATTTTATTAAAAAAAAATATATTGCTAAGCACTAGAATATTTTAAAGAAATTGTTGATGCAAATAGTATGTTAATAATAAAATTATGGTTTCATAATAAAAAGTCACAAAAGATTGTTCGAGCAAAATATTACTTCGTAAGATTCAACACTAAAAATATTTTTAACAACATGATAGCAACTAAAACTGTATAACTCTTTAAATTTCACATGCAAAATATAATTATTATTCCATCACAAAAGTTGATGATCAAAAGAACACAAAATCAGAACTATACATTATGATTTACTGAAAGCTGAGTATGGAGCTGTGTTTCAGCAACCAATAATATCTACGCTGTAATTTTCTCCATACTTATTTGGCATACAGGGTGAAAAAAATCAATGGGACATGAAGGGTAAGTACCTTAAATGCTTAAGATAGCTAATTTTACCTAAAGGAAACATTGTTCTATTTTTCTTAATATGAATAAATGTATTCACAGAATTTTTGAAATGCTTGACTGAACCGGGAATGAACCAAGTAAAACTGCAAAAAAAAAAACTCTTTATTTTATTGTACTAACGGATAATATCAATAATAAGGAAAATATCAATAAACATTCGGTCTTACACTTAAAGATTACCGTGAAATCTAGCATTAATGTAATAATAATATCGACTCTATCGTGAAGTACACGAAGATATTAATAATTAACTCACTACTAAAGAATTTTAGTAGCAGCAGAGCTCCTTGTGAGTGTTCGTCCAGGAAAGTACTGCTATCTTACCTATTTCTGCCGTCAAGCAGTAATATGAGCATTGCTGCGTTCCAGTTTGAAAGGGGGAGGGTATTGGTGAAATTACAGACACATGGGACTTGTCAATTTATGTCTCAGGGTGACGAGAGCAGTGGCGGCTCCTAAGATCTTTGCGATTTAAAGCTCTCTAATAATCATATTAAGAAAAATAAAACAATATTTCCTTTAGGGAAAATTAGCTATTTTAAGGCATTTCATGTCGCATTCATTTTTTTCACCCTGTATAATGGTCCTCGTCAACAAAACCTTTTAAAAATAGGCTCTATTTATATTGTAGCTAAGAGTTGTGTTTTACTAACATATATTTCGGTACCTATTTTGAGTAAAGAGGCAACGGCGTAAAAATGTCTAAATAATGAAATTCCATTGGATAAAATACAATTATTTCGCTTCGTTTTCGGAACAGGCCCATTTTTTCACTTAACTTAATTTCAGTGAGGTAGAAAAATTAAAACGAAAATAACACAACTGGTAACACTTGCAAACTTATAATTAAAACAATAACGTAGGTTTTAAACCACCACATGGCACTTAAAGTTGCCAAACCTAGTCTAGGACTTATCTTGTACAAAGATGCTCTTACAACAACAAAAATAACTTTACTTCTTTTTAACGACCAGTCGAGGACCTTTCTTATTCTTTTCTTGTGATGTGGAGGGCGTAGGCTCCTGAAAGCCATATTTGTTCTTCAACCGCTCGCGTATAAAGAGACCTTTTATCAATCGTTTCCAGTTGCCGTAGACTCTATTTTCTATTTTCTCTCGTTCTCTGCGCTCCTGGTCCTCTTGATCCTAAAATATTTAAAGTAATTTTTGTTGATAAATAGTTGCTTTAGGTTCACACTGTTTCTTGTGTAACTGTGATAGTTTCTGTAAAGTAGTATTGACACATTTAATAGGATCAAGATGCTTTTTAACTTTATGCAAAAAATTATAAAAACACTACTGTTTAAAAAAACAAATAGGTTGAAACCTACAAATGTTACCTTGTAACATTGTTTTGTTAAAGGTAACTTATATTTTTAACAAATGAAACTCAAGTGTTTATAACAGTCTGTCATTTGTAATTTATAATCCGCCTGTGTAAATCGGAACGAATCGAGCATAGCTAAGCGTACTTTGAATTTTTGAATTTGAATATTTTGTGTCACAGTTTGCTTTGAAACAAGATAATATTAATAGGTTTGGCACATTTTCTACTTCGTAACAAGTGAGTACTCTGTAGTGCATATAAAATAAATTATCGCTTTTATCAGTATGCGGGAATTAGTCGCAGTAGCGTATACAACTTGACTTTAATGATATGCCACCTTGATGGTCGGATAAGCTTAATTTATAATAGTCGTTTATTTGCTTTGAATTTTTTTAGTTTTAATGGTAGACATTAATTGGCACAGGTATCATGCTTGAGAGAAAATGCATAATAGCTTAGGCATTTTAAATGAAACATAGTATAAATAGACTAATCTCTCTTAATCATAATAACAACCATTGTACATGATTGTGTGGCTGTAGAGATGTTGTGGTGTACAAGTATGTAAAGTATTGAATAGGACTTGCATCCCGGGAATACTCGATCTCGAAAATTTCGATTCTCGGCAGGTTTTTGGTACTTCCGAGACTTGCGACTGATGTACTCGGGAATATCGGGACTTGTAAGGTTTAAGGTAATTAATAATAAAAAATGTACTGGTTTTTTCAATATGTTTTAATAAGTGACGTGAAACCAACTGTAATTTTTTATTCTAGTTGGTCGGCCTATGTAGGACATGCCCACACTGTAGAATGGAGCTTAGTATAATCTGTGGACATTCAAGAACGATAGTAATAAACTCAGGGCCTCTCTATCTGAAACTATTTGTTTCATTCGTGCCCACTATAAAAATGAGGAAAACTTTTATAAATAATTTTTGATTTCATAATTTGATTAAAATATTGTTTAGCTTTTTGTAAGTCAATGTTTAGCTTTAATTGCTTAGCTTATAAATATGGAAACCTACTTTTGAAATATTCTGAAAAGTCTCGTTTTTACCGGGATTTTCGAGACCGCATGAAGTCTCAATTTTTTATTCCTGGGATGCGAACATGCAGCTAGTCCGAAATCCTAGTAATGTAACTTACGAACAGAAAAACAGTAAACAATAATAATACTGCCCTTATTAATAACCAACGCCTTTCGTCGGGGATAGATCAAATCCGCGTTTGTATGTAGTATTAGTAAAAAGCGCGTATCTGCACCAAACCAAATTTCACAGGAGGGGAATTTAACGTTATTACTTTGTTATTTAAATGGCTAAGACTTTCATTTTTGCACAGTAAGCATTAATTTATGTTATCTACGGATTGATAACAATAGATTCCTGTAAATCACGCTAATTTGGTTACCACGACATTTACGCTGATTTGATTTGGCGATTAAATTGCCGAAATGGAGACTCATAATCAAATGCTTGTTACGCGTAATTTCACTATCCCCGACGATTTGCATTTTGAAAACTTTTACAATATTGGCACCTAAAGCTTTTTTCTTTGAAATCATTTCCGCTGATTCTACTAACAATAAAGCTGAAACTAAATAATATATATAAAAAAAACCGCTTACAGAGGGTTGTAGATCTCGTATCGCTGATTCCAAATATTATGTTAATAATATATTACGTTACTTATGATAAGGAGGCAGGGCAGAATAATGTGCGAGACAATCATACCAATTACCTGGTCTCAAACCAGGGAATTCCTCGTACTGTGAGTACCAGAGCAACGGTAGCAGTAGAGCTGCTTGTGAGAGTTCATCCAGGGAAGTACCGCCACCTTACCTATTTCTGCCGCCAAACGGTAATGTGAGCATTACTGCGTTCCGGTTTAGAAGGGAAAGGGTGCTGGTGAAATTACAGGCACATAAGACTTTTCAACTTATGTCTCAGTTGATGGACGCAGAGGCAGTGCACCACAGATCTTTGTGATTTAAACCTATGAGTGGCACTGCAACTGTTATAGGCGTGTCGTTTACCATCAGGCACGCGGCTTGTTCGTCCCATCACTTAGTGTCATAAAAAAAATGGGCTACTTCCTAGAACACCCAGAACAGAGTGCAAACCGTTGGGCTACGGAGGTCATCGAAACAATGAGAGCGGTTTTCAAATTCAAAACAGCTTACCTTTAGCCATGCCTCAGTAATGACTTCCTCGTACTCCTTGCAGACCACGAACCCGTCAAAGACTGGATGAGTCCATCCGCCGTTAAAGTCGAATCCAGTCATGGCTGGCGCGCAGTCAATGTTCAGCTTTTTAGCTACTCTATTGAGCCCCGGTACTGGAATATTTTTTAAATTTTAATATTCCATTCAAATAAGCCATATCTGTAGGTCAGAGATTCGTTTTTACTACTGAGCGTTTTAAAGAGAATGAAGCTCTTAATTAGGCATTTAAAATCAATCTTAATGTCTTTTACCATTGCGTGATTTTAGCATTATAATAGCAATGTTTGTAAATACATCCAAATTTCAAAATATTAATAATAACGCGTGCACACACACACACACGCACACGCACACGCACACACACACACACACACACACACACACACACACAAATTACACTCTACGGCCCGGGAATCGAACCCAGAAACTTTGCGTGGTAGTCCAATATGGTAACCGTTCGGCCACAGGCAGTTAGAGTATAAAATATAGACTTAAGGCCCTTTACGTTTCAACTACAGACATGTGATTAAACATGTACAAATGTCGTTGATTCATTTGAATTACCTTCAGTTCACGTGATAATAAAGCCATGTAATTGTTCAGTTTGAATTTGCTACAGTATTCTTAACAAACGAATTCTGACTGTAATTGTTATTCTATTTAAAGAAAAAGAAACTATAAACAAAATAATGTTCGTAACTAATTGGTATAATGAATAGACACCAATTAATTAGATCCGTGAAGTTCTCTTACTAAAACGAATAAAAGATATAGCCATAGAAGACTATATGTATGGCTTAACGAAATCTTTTTCAATCCTACATAATAAAAACTCATCACCATAATCCTAGAGATGTTAATTAAGTAATTGGTAAATGCCTTACATTTAATATGAACAGTGCCTTTAGGAAGCATACAGTCTTTGAATAGCTCGACGTTGCCGTACGCGTTGCGCGGGACTATACCATTTTCGGCAACTGGAGGCTCATAGTCTTGCACTTGCCACGGCCCGAATATTTCCAGAGGCTTATCCGTTATCAATTTGTTTGAAAGCTGGAAAAAATATTACAAATATGAATAGTATGCAATATAAAATAGTATGAAAACGGGTATAAAGATACCTAAACTATACCCAACAATAATGACTTATATGGCTTAATACAATACAAGATGTCTTAGGTGGTATAACATAATGTCAGGTCAGTGATATTGTGCAATTTTCACCTCCTATATCGTGGAGGATAGTACAAATCCGCGTATGTAGTATTGGTAAAAATACGCGTATCTGCACCAAACCAAATTTCACAGGAGAGGGATTTAACGTTATTACTTTGTTATTTAAATGGCTACGACTTTCATTTTTGCACAGTAAGTATTAATTTATGTTATCCACAGACTGACAACAATAGATTCCCGTAAATCACACTAATTTGGTTGTCACGACATTTACGCGGATCTGATTTAGCGATTAAGTTACCAAAATGAAGACTCATAATCAAATGCTAGTTACGCGTAATTTAACTATCCACGACGATATACCAAATTGACTACTATACTGACGAGCCATAATTAAATTTTGGGCCCATTAAATGTTGGAGATCACTTCTCCGCGCGGATCCGTTATTTCGATGCTGCATTTCGTTAGAGAATACCAAACTCCATACAAAACTGTCAAAGCTCAGCGTGAAAGTAGTTTCATCAGTCAGTTAGCGTTAATGCACTTTTTCATACGAATGTACCAATTTTGTAAACATTTATGCCAATCCGCCATGACAATCTTTGAAACATATTTTCAAACTCTCCGACAGCCTCTTCAGGTGATGTAAATCAAATTTTTGGAAATAAATAAAAGTCACAAGGTGACAGGTCGGGACTGTACGCGAGATGCCTCATAAGGTCACCGTTTTCACCTTAATAAATTCATTTGTCTGTTTGGCCGTGTGAGAACTGGCATTATCGTGGAGCAAGATGATACGGTGTTTACTTTTAACGGTGGTTATTTTTACGAAGTTTGTCAAAAACTTCCGGCAAAACTAATGGTCGTGTACCAATCACTATTCACGGTACAAAGATTCTCCAAAGCAACAGTAGCCACGTGTCCAGTTTTATTAAAAATAGAAGCAGTCATCTGCTTAGAGGCACTTTGCACGCGCGCAACTTTGGTTGGTTTCGGCTCATCTCGAGAGACCCATACGCTCGATTGCTGCTTTGTTTTGGGATCGTAACTATAAATCCATGTTTCGTTACCTGTTACTATGTCCCACAACAAATTTGACGCCCCTTCGTTGAATCTGGTAAGCATGGCATTGCACCAAGTGACGAGATCCGTTTTTTGAGCCTCAGTCAAATTGTGTGGGATCCACCGAAAGCACAGCTTTTTCACATATAAATGTTTGCGTAGTATTTATTGATTGCATTTGACTCATGCCTATGCCTAAAGATCTCATGGTATGTCACATGCCTGTCTGTTTTGATCGCCGTATGATCAAAACAGACACATCGCACAGCATCGACGTATTTGTTGTTCACAGCAGTGGACTGGCGATCATCACGAAATTCGTCACTGAGATTCACACGACCGCGTTTGAATTCTGCAAACCAGCTATAATTAGTCTTGCATGGTGCTTTATCGCCAAAAGCAGTTTGAAACCGAGCGAAGCTCCGTTGAGCTGTTAAATTACACTTAAAGTCGTAGAAAATTATACTACAAAAATTATCACGAGTTAAATCCATGGTGATGTAGACAACCAACTTCTAAAATGCCACCACAATATAAAAACAAGTAACAGTCAGATGAAACAAACTGTATTCTACAGCCAAAGAGTTTCATTTTCAAATGTTGTAATTACTTTTAAATATTGTTTATGTAAGTGGCTAGTTCCGGAAACTTATAGTGCGCCTTATGTACAGCGCTGGCGCAGCGTCGACCGCAGCGCTGTCACCTTAGACATTGCAGCTCTGACTGCACGACTGAACTTTTGTGCACGTATACGTACAATCGTATGAGCAAGCTCGCTGTCGAGCGTGTATGCGTTCAATCACTTTCTGAAGTACACTTGCGCAGTCAGAATAGTAGCATGTTAAGGCGTCACAGAACCAATGCATACAGTAACCAAAATATTATCATAGTTTTACAACCAACTAATTTCAGAATGCTACATTACAACGCTACAACGGCTATAACGGTAAGATTTGACGACATGGAAATAAAAAATAAAATGTTTTGCTATTTTCGTAAATATGTAAATTATTATTTTGCCATTATTTTCGTAATTTTAATAAAATATACTTCCTGAGTATCTATACTAATTAAATAAAAATAAATGACATTGACTGCAGAAACTCTATACTTATTATTGTATTCTATTTTTTATCGAGTAACTCCTAAAAGGTAGTAAAGGTATCACTGTAAAAAAGGGTTTGAATTGGTTATGGAGTCTAGTCTCGCTGGTATTTGTAGTTATTTAGATATACTTTCAAAATACGCGCGCAGCTACGCATACATCCTATTTTTTGTCATACATGGTTGTCACTAAAATATTTGAAAATAAAGAAACGGTTTAAGCCAAAAGCATGCTTAATTTTGTTACCATACTTGTCGAAGCATGCTTAAGCCTTCAACAATATTGGCGTTGAAGCTGACGAGTACGATGCCGTGTGTACAGTGAGGGTGATATCGATTGCCAAAATGCGAATTGTAGACAAGTGGTGTAAACCCCTAACACGTATTAATGTATTATAATCGGCTCGTACATTCTGCAGCTGCGATGCCAAAGTTATGTAGGATTATACAAAAGTTTTGAAATTAAGGAAATCTTACCCTATCCCATTTAGGTCGGGCCTTTACGACCTTATAAGGTTGCTCCCCAAGTCGCACCACTTTCGCTTCTTTTAGCCAGGTGTCTCTTGACCGACACACGTAGACGCATTCACGTGCGTAGACTGCTTCGCCGCGCACGAATCCTAACGTCGCTGCGTCGGGTGGGTAGATTGCTTCGAACTTTAGTAGGTGTCTTTTCAAGGCGTACAAGGGGTGGTTTTTATATCTGAAATTTTGTAGACGATAACAGGTGTACTAAATAATCAGTATAAACTGAAGCAAAAATTACATTGGTACAAATGACACAGTGAAAACTGAAGACAAATATTGACATAAATAGCGTTTACAATTTCAATTATTACTATGAGACATTGGTAGGTCAATGCTATGAAGCAACTTATAGGTGGTTAAAAGTTAAGTGTTGCAAAAAGCTAACTATTGCATAGGAAACGCAGTCAAGTGATCGTACTTACTCTGCGATACTTTTTGGTAAGGGTGCTTCCAACTGCATCCTATTGAGTTGTTCATCTTCTTCCTTATCTCTTGCGGATTTAGGGCCCAACCAGGGGCGTACTGCGACTTCCCACCAAGAGGACTCCACTCGTTGCTTGCGAGTTACCGTGTTCCAATGCGGTGCGTAGCGACGAGTAAGGTCTTTTATGTAGTTGTTGTTATCCCAGCCCACTACGTAGTTCACAGGATGCGTTGCTCGATTCTGCAAAAGCTACTCTAAGTCACACACATATTTATTGGAACCAAATTCAAACTTGGTTTGGATACTTCATATATAAAATAAACAAACACGTGTATTGTTTGTATTTGTGTTTTTAAAACAACCCCTTAAAAGGGTTAAGTTTAGTGTTGAAACTTGAAAAAAGAAACCAAATGTTTTCTTTCACATTTTTGAAAAAAAAAATAACATAAAAAAGAACACAGCAACCTGGTTTTCTTTCTAAATTTGTTTTTTTTTATTTCAGAAAAAGTAAAATGGAATAACTGAAATAAAATAAGACACTAACTTTTGTTATATATAAATCAATTATCATGATAATTATAACAAAAATTTAATCTTCATTTGTGGTGTTACTAGTGTTACTACTGTTACAGGTGTTAACCACACTTGTAATGTCATCAACATTTTCTGTGTCTTCGTTTCCTTCATTCAAATAATACAGAATAATTTTATACAGGGTGGAACGGAACGACCGCCAAAGCCGAAAATATCACTTTAAAACCCTACATACATATACATGAGTTTTATTTACTTTAAATGTAAAATCAGAGCAGTTGAAAAATGTTCGTCCAGATTTAAACGTTTCGCGATGCAACAACCCTAAGCGAATCAATCGTGTTAGTACATCTACTGCTGCACAGGCGGCGTTTTCGTGTCATTGGCACTCGCAGAAGAAATAAGTGTTCTCACTTGAATAGGTAATTAAAAAACATAGGTAATTGAACTTACTTTAAATTAAAAGGATGTTCGATTTGTCCACGTTCCCTTTACTCTTGTAGGCATTCCAGACACATTCCTGGGTGTGCCGGTCACACGCCGATGTGGTTTTCCCCATAAACACACTAATACACTTTACTTGCTTAACACAAACACTACTTAATAACGGCACTATTCCAATAACCCAAAAATTAATAAGGAAACCTTGTTTTGTGCTGTAAACACGAGAAAAACATGAGACCACGAGTTACCACACAACCAGGCATTTTGAACTAATTTATGAATGAAAACGTGTTGCCAACTAGACTAAATCAAATATCATTAAACAGAAGGTCCATTTAATTGGCCAGAACTGTATGGTCACAGTACAGGCAAAAGACTTAAACGATTAAACCTAAAAAAATAGCAATATTTTTGTCTCTAGAAATAAAAGACGCTTTTGATGTCAAAATGTCACATAAAGGGACAAAGTCGTTTAGTTGGCAACTCTGCATAGAGATGCCAACAAAAACGCGGCGGCGTCGGACCGCCGATTATTAAATATGTAAATGTTAATTTTAAAAAGACAATTATGATAAAGAAATAGGTTTCGCAATAATCGTATTGTCTGGCATAAGTACCATGAGCAATTCAAAAGTAAAAGTATGTTAAATGCAGGTCGTTTAATGTATTGTAATAAATAATCAAATTTAGCAATGTGATAATTGATACTCAATAATAAGAAAACAAACCGTGGCCGTGGTCTGCAGACCTCCAAGAACCGATTTATTTATTTTTACATTACATTTGTTAAAATTTTAACTACTCAGCTCAAGTTAACACAAAATTTTGTTATAAATGTTGATCTCATTAAAATGAACTCTTCGTTTTAAAGTTAGTAAATTCTTGTAGTGTAAATTAAAAGTATTTCCAAAAGCATTGAAAAACAGACCAGTAAAAAAAACGATCTCCCGATTATGCTACCAAAAACAGATAACAGGTATCAAGTGTGCATCTCTAAGCAGAGATGTGACATGATTGGCTGCCTTAATTTACTATTTTACGTTAGGGCCGGATTAAGGGTTACGAGACTATTGTAATTTGAATTACTTGACGCGTGTTGTAGAACGTGTTTACTTAATTTAGTTATGTTTATTTAACTTAAGTCTTATCTTATGACGCAGACAATATGAGTTGAACTCCTGACAGGGTCATTTAGAAAACTTTACTTTTCTTAAACTGTTGTAGGTACTTTATGGCTACGCATAGTTTAGAAACAACATGTCTCCCGAAGGTTCTATGAGATGTGCATATTTTTGGTAAACGCAAATTTGGGTCGTCAAACACGGAATTTAGGGGAGTTAATTAATCTCACATTAATACAATAAAATAACCGCATAATTAATCATCATTCACATGATGATTGATCATAGAAAGTGATTAATCAAAGAAAGTGACTGATGGGGTGCTGATCAACGACCGAGGTCAACGACATATTAAATTTTAAAAGTTTTTTGCTCTGAGTACGTCCTGGTAGATGGCTCCTAAAAACTGTGTTTTACGATGTAGGGTTGACAACACAGACTTTTCAAGCAAATCATTATCACTGAATAACTCTGAAACTATTGCACTTAGAGCCAAAAGACTTTCAGTGCAATTAAGTACATATTTAAAACTTCATAGTTTTCGGCTTTGTCAGTCGTTCTGTTCCACCCTGTATAAGCGGCTTGCTAATAATTCTATGTAAATGTTGCTATATAAGGGTTATGCGCGATGTGGAAAAAAATATTGATATCGCTCTTAAATAAATAAATAAGTAGTGTTTTTATCAGTAATCATCAAAGTAACGATGCAACAGCAATCGATAGATTTAAAAAAAGGTAAACTGTTGGAATCCTCGTATTTTCCCCAAATAGCGTCAATCGCACAAAATGCCCAATCGAGTTAAAATTCCCCGCAATTTTGGGAATTCACCACAAATTGACAACACTTTGAGGATTGCCCATTTATTTTGAGCGATTTATCTATGAAGAATAATATTAACAACAAAAAAGGAAATATAGTAAAAAAATACAATTATCATATTGTCATATTATTACATAGATAACCTCCTAATAGATGCCGCCTGTTGAAAATTTGTACTGAACCGAGCTCACCAAATTCGGAGGAAAGCAAGAGACGTGGGGAATGCAATTAAGACGTTCTGATTCGCTAGTTCAAGGTCGAACTAGGAATGCACTCAAATTGCACTTATAGCTAGTGATGGACAACCTTTACCAGTCTGCATCTAATTAGTCAATAAAAACGATAATATTGTAACACAAATTATTAAATTCTTCCATGCTGATTTGGAAGCAAAAGAAAAGCATAGAATGTATCAGTTACTTATGATTCCGCGGAAATCGTAAAAGCCGACTGAGGGCCTGGGTTTAATGGTGTCCTAAAGGCGACATATATATATGTAGGCGACATGCTGGCAACCTGTCACTATTTAGTGCACTAAGTTATATTAAAACTTTAATAAAAAACTTTGCTAAACGTGGCTAAAGTTTGCGTGGCTAAAGCTTGTCTTACTCAAAGCTCTGCCTACCCCTATGGGAGACAAGTGTGACGGTAGTATGTATGTAAATTGTTGAATGACTTACGGCAGCAGGATGATATTTAGATACAGGAAAAAAGGAATTGTAAGAAAACAAGGTACTTAAATTTTATAACGTATTAACAAAATCATAACTAATGAAATTAATTATGGCGTTAAGTATGTATAACGTCATAATTGAAGGTTTAGGTCATACAATGTAAGGTGATAAGATAAAACATGAATTTGTTATTTATTGTATCACGTTACAATAATAACTATTAATATAATCAAAGAAGACATAAAATAATATATTACTAAAACTAATTTATGTAACCAATTTCACACGAAACATAATCGAAAAATAATAAACAATAAGTGCTATCTATAAACGTAGTTAAAAAAGTAATATACTCATAATATTTGTTATATTGATTAAGATGACGATCTCAAATCTTCCCAACCCTAGTGTTACACGTGTTTTCGACAAAAAGAGACGCTTAATTGTAAGAACATAATAAAAGAAAGAGACCTCTCAGAAAGACATCAACGAAAGATCAGTTTCCTTCGTAATCTTTTAGTGGAAGCCATTTGAATTTGCGCTATGCCAAACTTGTAAATAACGTAGTTATAACTTACCGGTGACACGTGATTCTATCTTTTTGGAAGTTTGAGGTCCTGGTTGTTTTTCCACATCATTTCACCGCACAGATAGTCATTTTTATAGTTCGTTTTACCAAAACCAGCGTAACAATACAAGAATATCAGGACATGCGCACGGGTCTGATACTTCGTCGAAACTAAGTGATGAATTTTTGCAAAATTTTATATATGATCAATTACACGGATGTGTCGTGCGCGTCAGTTGCCCAGTATGCGGCATCTATTAGGAGGTTATCTATGTATTTTTATTTTCATACTTATAGAAAAAAACGTACTCCAGAAAAAAAAATGGTTTCTTTTCATGTTTTTTTTCATTGTTTTTTTTTTCACCTCGGTAACAAAACGGTTTTTTAACAACACTAGGCAAGTTGGTATATCGAAGTATATTTAGTAGAGCTCCTTGTGAAACAGTTCGTTCAGGGAAATACTGCCACCTTACCTATTTCTGGAGTCAAGCAGTAATGAGAGCTTTAGTGCGTTTCGGTTTTAAAGGGTAAGGGTGCTGGAGAAATTTCAGGCACATAAGACTTGTCAATTTGTGTCTCGGGTGACAGGTGCAGTGGCAGTTCCCCTCAGATCTTTGCAATTTCAACCTCTTGAGTGGCACTGCAACTGTTACGGGCAGAAGTGTTGCTTAGCACCACGAACACGACTTGTTACCCGTCACTTGACATTATAAAAATAAAAGTCATCATCAAACAAAAATGTATGACCCGTTAATGAATAGTGACGCTTAGTGACAGTTTTTACTTACGTAAATCTCATTGATACAATGCACTTTTCCTTTAATGACATCCACACATATCCACTGTTCTAGTTCCTCAACGTAAATTTCACACCAAATGTCAGATTTAATGCTCGGAGTCTCTTCATCAGAAGATAAGACTCGACGATCTATTTTGCGACCACCACTAGTACTTGGCCTCGGACTAATTTTGGTTGGTTTGAAGTCTTCGTCGCTCTCCGAATCTCGGTGTTTCGGTGATTCTACAGGTAAATAGTCGCTGTCTTCATCATGTTCCTCTTTCACTTTCCCTGTAAAATCAAAGAACAGAATTGGAGATTAATGATTAGGGCTCTACAAATCTGTATTATCTTTATTTTTGCTTTAATACCTTTCACTTTACCCCTTTTCGAGTTTTGAAATGCTTCTTTCACTCTTGATTTCATAATACCTATTAAGTCTTCTCTTACATCGTTTTTAGATTTAGGTTTGTTTTTTGCAAGTAAATCTTTGTGGCTAACTCGCTGTGTATCTTCTTTAGCTACTTCTTGTTTAGTCTGTCTTGTGGTTTTAGGTCTGGTTGATTTTTCTTCATTTTTGATAAAGTATTTACTTTCCTCGACAGTGTTTCCTGGTGTACTACGCGTACGTAATTTGGTTTTCTTTTTTGCATCCATCTCAGTTTTTTGTGAAGTTGACGGCAAAGCCGTTTGTGATCGTTTCCTGCTTAAGCTAAGTTTCTTAGCTGGTGGTGTTTCTCTGTCAAAATATTTACTTGCGACTTTGTTTTCATCAGTAACAATTATTTCTGGTGCATTCGTTTTATTTTCTGTAACTTTCACTTTCTGTTCTGATTTAGTTTTGTCTGCTTTTTTATTATCCTTTCTTGCATTTCGTGTTTTTCTTGAACTAATAGAAGGTATATTATTTGTTTCCACTGGCATTTTTGCAGTTTCACTCTTTGATATTTCTTTTTTTATATTTATTTCTGTTGAGGTTTGTTGGCGGAGACTTGGAGACCTTTTGCGGACTTGCTTATTTTGAATACTGCTACTGCTTCTGTTATAATAATTTTCAAGTTCTTCTTGATGCTTTTTCTTATTACTTGTTTTCTGTGGCAAATCAACAACCATTTTATCAACTTGCTTAGTTGCAGTTTGCGTAGATATAGGTCTTGGACTTCTGCTCTTTCTCGCTCTCTTAGGTGGAGAAACATCTTCATTTACTTCTGATGTGGAACTGGTTTTAGAATTTTTTGTAGCTCTTGTGGACCTTGTACTAGGTATGCCTACTAAGACATCATCATTTCCATCAAGTTGCATAATATTTTCAATATCGCTTTCACTGTTATCATAATTTCCATCTACTTGAGGAATTTTATTTATAGATTTGCTCATAGAAGTACTAGGTCTTTTCTTGGGTTCCTTCTTCTCTTTGTCTTTATTTTTATTCGAAGGTTTATCTCCTTTTGGCTTGGTTGACAGTGAACAAAGTTCTGAAGGGAGAGGTCTAATTGGTAATGTTACAAAGTTAAACATGATACGGCATTGTAAGCCTAGCGCTCGTAGCATGCTGACAAAAATAAACACAAGATATTTTTTGGCAGTCACTACTCTACTTTTCATTTGTTTTAATAATATATCTTTCAAAGGTGGGGCTTTAGGCCTAAATTTATTCTCATATTTATCCTGTTTCAAAGTAAGTTTATCTTTGTACCACAATGTTATTTGTTCCACATATTTCATATCGACTCTGTCTCCTGGATAGCATTCTTTAGATGGGACTAAAGACAAGGCAGCTGCTAAAAGTTCTTGATCATTTAAAACTCGACTAACAAAGTTGCCATGGCCCAACCAGCATAGAACATGTACTTTATGCATATAAACTTGGTTTTCCTTTTTAACTCTGTTGATCTTCCTTTTCATCATCATTTCTATATCTAATTTTTTACTTCTTTTGCAAACCGCATCAGGGATTCCTACCACTAACTGCAAACCTTGCTGAGGTATGCCTTTGGCTTCTGAAATGATTTAACACTATTTAACTTTTAATGAAATTTAGAATATAACATAAAATAATAATTGATATTATGTCAGTAATATCTTCCCTTTCAGCTCAGTACAGTACAGCTATGTCTTAATATCTCTTGGTAATCTTCATACTTCTGAATGCACAATTGTTCTTGAGTAGGGAATGCAATCCGGATAATCCGTAATTTAAAAAATCTGGATTTTCTGGGATTTTCACTAATTTTGAAATCCGGATTTTAAAATTGGATCCGGATTTTAAAATTAGACCCAGATTTTGTTAACGCTTTTATTCACGCTCACGCAATAGAATTTTGAAATTTTGTGCAACAGAATCCTCATCAGGTTAAATGATAAAACAATTGTCTATCAATGAATCTATGATCTATTTTATTTTAGAGAAAAAATAATAGTTTATTTCTTGCTTTTTACTTTTTGAAAGAGAATGGGGGATATCTCGTGTATTTTGTGACCCAGTGTTTTTGACGACGTGCATTAAGGAGACCTATCAATACTTCTGATTCATTATCAAAGCATCAAAAAAGCTAATTGAGTACAGCCTGTAGAAGCTGGGGTTAGTTGGTATAGGATATGTTTAGAACGTTGTCTTGTATTTCGCTTCAGATGTTTGTTCGTAGTAGCAGAAAACAACAAGTTTTCAGTTTGTTCCCAAAAATAATAAAGAACTTCCGGAATATTCCCAAATCTGCCAAACTAAGCCACATTTAATATAACTTATCATGTTCTGCAGCAATGAAAATGAATAAAAATTAAATCTGCCCAAATGCAGAAATCTGTCACAAATGGTCACACTGTTCGCAATATCAATGTGACATTGACTTTCATTATCTCTAATTTAAATATTGTCTAAATATTTTTGTCACATTGTTTTATTTTTTGCTTTATAAAATAATCAATTAAACAATAATGACTTACTGTTTAATTGATTATTTCATTAGGTATTTTATAGCTTTAATGTTTTATGTGTGTACTATAAAATAACCAATACTTCAGGTAGGTAAACATTCAATCATGCTTAAAATAAAACGTGCGTACAAGAACGTTACCTAATCTATGGTCGAACTGAATCAATTGAGTTGTGTTCTAGCATTTATTCTAAAATACAATGTTTTATAATTTTTTTATTCCCGACTTCTAAAAATATATAAAAATATATTGAAATATAGCGAAGTCCATGAACGGCACTTCGTCGTTATTGGGGCAGCTTTCGCCATTCTTCCTTAAGTTACGAAGTGGTATTTATTTTAAACTGTTGTTTTATATTTTTTATGTTAATTTTGAAAACAGATGCTGCCCAAGACAGAAAATATTGGGAAAAAAGAGGGAGGTCTTTGCCCAGCAGTGGGATAGAACGGGTTAAAAAAAACAAAATTTACACTGAGTTCAGAGACAGAAGTTTTTGAAGAACCAAAACTTGGAATGTATTCCCTGGACATCTGTTACAATAAAGAAACCAAGAGCAGTTCCTATGATTACCAACTCTCTTAGAAACTGCACTATTTATGTTATCAAAAGATTATACTGGTTTCTATAAGCACATACAGACGGTTCTAAGTCAGTACATGGTGTTGGAGCTGCCCTCTGGATGCTCAGTCTAATACATCTTTATGTGGTGGGCACACAATGACATATGCATTATGAGAGCAGAGATTATTGCCATCAAAGAAGCGTTACAGTATGTAGTGGATCAATTGTCAAATGAGCAGTTAGTCGTTATAATAATAATAATAACGCACACACTCAACATAGCCCCGCACTAGGGAAACCCTGTGTCGCGGGTACCATGAACACACATATAGACAACCAAAAATTACACCCAAACTCACGAGATTAACAAATGTAGGCCAAACAAATATTTCTCCCGGCCCGGGAATCGAACCTGGGACCTCTGCGTGGCAGTCCGGCAAATTGGCACCCATTCAGCCACAGAGGCAGTTATTCTAACTAACTCAAAGAGTGCTCTGCAACACTTGGCTCGGTTTGTCTCGGGTCATCGAGGTACACACATCAAAAAAAGTTTGCGATCACTTCGAAAAACTGAAATCTTTTTTGTTACTGTAGATTATATTATGATTTTTTCTTCTTTTTAGATTCTTTATTTAAAAATAAATTAGAACATAAAACAATGACCTCGTGCAATTGTTTTTTCATATAAAAAGGCTTTCAGTCCTAGCTTACGCTCATTCAGAAATCTGATTTAGTCAATTATAAGCGATTCAAGATATTTTTCGCGGAAAGTTGTGATTGAAAAAATGCCAAGAGGATTATCAGAGGTTTTACGAGCTAGAATAGTAACTTTGAGGGAAGAAGGATACACCACGAGAGTAATAGCACGCAGACTTGCTATATCCCAATCCTGTGTCGTGGCTACGTTGCAGAGGTATCACGGAATGGGGAATTTAGCTGACCGACCCCGCAGCGGTCGCCCAACTGTTTTGACAGCTGCCCAAAAGCGCTATATTAGATTGCTGGCAGCCCGTGATCCAACAATCAACGCCACTAAAATAAAAGCAGAAGTCAGGGCCGCCTCTGGGCTTGAAGTTAGCACGCAGACCGTTCGCAATTGCTTGCACCAGGCTGGATTACGAGCACGGAGGTCTTGGCGAGCTCCGCTCAATTCCCGGCAACGTCAACAACGAAGATTGCAGTGGGCTAGACTTCGGCAAAATGAAGAAGGTGAGGACGAAAACATTTGGCAAAACTGTCTCTTCGTTGACGAATCCCGAATCAGCACTCATCCAGATAACCGACGTGTCCGTGTCTGGAGAAGACCAGGCGACCGTGAAAGACAAAGAACTGCCACTGGAACAGTTCAGCAAGGCGGAAAATCGGTGTCCTTTTGGGGTGGCATTATGATTGGAGCTAGAACGCCTTTGATCCCGTATCGGGGCTTCATGATAGCAGACATGTACAAAGCAGTTGCTATTGATGATATCGTCAGACCATTCCGAGTAAACCATGGGCACCAATTTGTACTGGTCGATGATAATGCGCCCGCACATCGAGCTCAACGAGTCAATGCTGCTCTTCAAGAATACGATATCACACGATTAGACTCGCCCGACTTAAACCCAATAGAGCACGCGTGGGATGCTCTTAAACGAGCAGTATGGAACCGTGAGCCACGTCCCCAGACAGTTCCAGAGCTCAGGGAAGCCGCTATTGAAGAATGGGATAGGTTACCCCAGGAAATGCTGGATAACTTGATCCTCAGCATGCCCAGGAGGATCTTCGCATGTATTCGAGCCAGGGGAGGAGTTATTTTATATTGAATTCACACCTTTTAATAATAAATTGTTGTTTAAGTTTAATTAAACAGTCTTTTTCTTTCTATGAAATTTCTATCACTATTACATTATGATTAATGGCTCAATTTTTTAAAATAAATAATAAAAAATAGTTTTATATTTTAATTTCAAACAGGGTATTCCTATTTAAAGAAAGCATACAACATAGATTTTTTCTTGATAAAGTTAAATTTAAAGAATTATAGGAGCTTATGCTATTGATCGCAAACTTTTTTTGATGTGTGTATATCGATAGCCTATGACTCTCCAGTTGATCCACAACATACACTACAGAAGTGTGTCTAAAGCTTCAATGGCTCAAATTCCCACTCATGTGGGATTGCGTGGAAACGAAGCAGTTGATGTCCTTGCAAAATCAGCTACTGAAAATGGTATGTACTCGATAGTAAGCCTTATGCCACCAATATTATTCCACTAATTAAGAAAAGAAGTCTAGTAAAATGGGAATATCATTTCGGAGAACGGTCGGTGGATAAAGGTCTCGGAATATGGTACAGAACCAATCAAAGTAATCCACAGTGGGTACCCTGATTTGATTCTGTCAATATAGCAAACAAATACCTTGTATTGGCTTTTAGACAGCATTCTAGTCACATTCCAACTAATAAATTCTGTCATGTGATGGGTTTTAAACCATCCCCATTGTGCAGTACTTGCAATAAAATAGAGGATCTGTTTCATGTATTGGTGGAATGTAACCATGACATAACCTACAAGAGAGCTACAATGTTTGGGAATGCATGTTTACGAAATGGACAAATTAATTGTTGGCTCAGAGAGCCTATATGTAGGCGCTCTAAACTTGTACAAGTTCTTGAATATGTTCCTTGAGTAGGGAACCCAGTATTCCTCCCATGAGACTGACATAGTCACACAAGGTGGCTAAAGCCTCAATAAAAAATAGATTAAAAAAAATAGTTTTTCCAAAAAATCTGTCACTTGGTAAACTAGACCTCTTACAAAATAAAGCCTTACGTATCAGTGGGGGTTTCATTAGAACTAGAACGATACATGTAATGGAATGTGAGTTGGCTAACCACCTTGGGCTGTGTGTAGATACTGGTTGGCACATAAATTTTGGTTATCCATGGTATCTCTCACTAATACAGTAAGTGTACAAAGTATTCAAGATTTTACCGCAGAAAGTAACATAAATAGTTACTGGAATAATAAGGCAAAACCGGCTTTAACTGAAGCTTGTAACAATTTAGAAAATAGAGATGTATACAACAATAACAAATTGGAAATGCTTTATATGGAAATTTGGATGTCGTACATAGATATAAATAACTGCATAAAAGACAGGATACCCAACCTGACCACTCCCAGGGGACAATGTAACACGGTGTATTTAAATAATTGTGTAAATAGCTACTATAGGATTTTTACTGATGGTTCCAAGGACATCAATGGTGTTGACGCGGCCTTTTACGACCCGCAACATCATATCATTCATACTTAAATTGTGTGTATAATTGTGTGTAATGAAGCATGCATAATGAGAGCGGAGTTATTTGCCATAGTCGAAGCATTATCCTTTGTTAGTTCTGTGGATTCAAACAAAATCGTTATTCTCACTGACTCTAAAAGTGCACTTCAGCACTTGGTTCGATGTGTCTTTGGAGGTCGAGGCATGCCGATAGCATATGAGGCATTAAAATTAATGACTAACCTATTGTCCAATAATATTAACATAACACTTCAATGCATACCTTCTAGGAAACGAAGTAGCAGACAGACTAGCAAGGGTGGCTACTTCTGAGTCGTTGGAACCATCAGGTATATTTTTTATATTTGCCACAGAACTTATTCCATTTGTAAGGGACCTAACTATGGATCAATGGGCTAAGAGCTATGATGAGATATCTGTGACTAGAGGTATATGGTACAAAACTATCCAATTGCGTCCTCCAAGTAAGTCCTGGTTTGAGGAGGGTAGACTATCCAAGTCACTGTTAATAATTGCTCTTAGACTGCGTTCTGGTCACATTCCATTAAATAAGTTTTACTATTTCATGAGAAGGGCAGAATCCCCTCAATGTCAATTCTGTAACAAGTTGGAGGACATGCTTCATTTAATGGAATGTGATCGGTATGCGGGCTGTCGAGCCCAATATCAATTGAAGGACATTGGTCAGGTGGGTGGATTGATCAGGTCAGGTTGTTTAGGTGGGAGCTAAATTTAATGCTGAGTAACCCATTGACGAAGAGTGCTGAAGCTCTATACTCCTATGTGAAGTCTTGTCTTTTCTGATGAGGAGCAATACCTCACATGGGAGTAGTAAGAGATAAAATAGGAGACATATTTATATGTATATATACATTATGAGGCCGATATAAACGCCCGAACGTTTCAGGATTCTTAAAACTAGATTTAAAAAAAATCTGGATTAAGTATTTGGATACGCTGTGAAATATGTATTCAAAATCCGAATTTCAAATATGGTATGGATTTGCATTCCCTATTCTTGAGTACTCAGTAAGTGTCAAGAACAGCAATTCTTCTCAAAAAAATTATTTTTGTTTTAGTTAGTCAAGTAACTTTTTACTTTATATAGTTAAATATATTTCAGTTTATTTTCATAAATATTGATTAATTAGTAGTCTATCACTCGGTCGCGGCATGAACGGATCTGAGACCGACCCAATAAAGGTGAGCCGATGAAGAGTTAAACGACATTGTATTATTGTTTAAATTGTTCATTTTAGTTTCCACATTATATTACAAAATTGTTTTTACTCTTCAAGATCGAGATATTTAAGTGTAATTTATGTTAAGTGGACTTAAAGAAGTCATTATCTAAGTTAGTGAAGTCGTTGATCTTTTTCAGTTTATGTTGATAAATATTGATGTTTCGTTTTAATATTCAGTAGCCATTATTATGTTTTATTGCATAAAATGGTTTTTTTTTGTTTCTATATTACAAAATTGTTTTGTGTATAAAGTAGCAAATATGTAACTATTTGGCAACATTGATATAAAGTCGAACTGACAGAAACCTGACAACAGTTAAAACACAAACAATATAGAGAGATATTAGGAACATAGTTGTACAGCTTTAAAAAGTATATTATAATTTCTACTTGTTTGTAAACATTGCTCACCTTTAACCTCTTCCCAATCTTCCATGTCGGAATCACTAACATTCATAGCTTTCTTTGACTTCTTATTTTTATTTTCACTTCCTTGTGGGTGAGGCGCTTTCTCCTCACCCTGAGCAAGCAAGTCTTTTACATCAAGGTCTTCTTTATCATAAAACTTTGCTGTGTAATTAAGTAGAGTAGCCTTTGTTTCTTCAATCTTTGCTTTGTGATGTTCAAGTTCCATGAATGTTTTCTGGGCAACCTCTTCGCTATTGTCTGGCATATTGTATGACCAAACCTGGAAACATTCAATGATCATATAAATACCAATACTGAGGTAGTTCAGTTGGGCTAGCATGACAGGGTGCAACTTGCACGATATATGTATATAAATAGCTCCTGCTTTTAATTCATTCTTGCACAAGTTGCTGCTTGTTGTGCTAGCCTTATAGGAATATGCGCAATATCCAAGACTCTAGTAAGGCCAAGAGCTGGGCTGCTGTGCTAATGTTTTCACAAAGCATAGATGCATGCAAGAGGGAATTCAGAGGTATTGCAGACACTTCAATTTCAGCTTATAAAAACCTACAGCTTACATCTTTGTACTCTTGTCTAGATTCTGTTTCACTGTCAGAGTCTTCATTATGTCCCAATTTAATAGGCACTGCAGTGATTTGTTTCTTGACAGGTTTAGGAGATTCGTCTTCACTGCTGTCTGCAATTTTTTGTAGGTACTTAAACAAAGAAAACTGGTATTCCACTCTAAGAAATGATTTGTAAAATATCAAAGAATTCTATATACAAATACAAAAGATATTTTGAAATTACATATCCGCCATTAGTAGAGGGTCTTCTTTTTTTAGAATATACATACAATGCCCACTTATCTATAAAAATGGAAGGTTTACATACCACTTTCAGACAAATTGAGTACTGGAGGTAAAAGTTTATCAGCATCAGTGAGATCTTTAACAGAGAAAAATGCTGGAGCAACATCAGCCTCATTGTCGCTGCCTGTAGACACTTGTTTGTTTAATTTGCTTACAAATTGCTTTGCAAACTTTGATCTTTTTTGTACTGGTTTTGATTTTGCAAGTTTCTTCTTTGATTTTTCGTCGAGCTCGTCTGCAGAAGACACTTCAGGCTCCATATCATCTTCTGAGCTTGATTGTTCAGATATTTGAGCTTCGGAACCCGAATCGCTGAAATCACCGGCAGCTTTTTCAGCTTCACTGTCGTCCTCGTCTTCGTACACTGTTTTTATGACTTTTTTGCGAGTAGTTGGCATTTTGGGAACTTCTTTTACTTTCACACTTTAGACAAATACGAAATTATTGATTAAATTATGGTATTCCGTAGACTTTTCAATACAAAACCACACAAATAGAAAATATTGTGAAATAATCAGAGCGCGCGAGAAAGACGCACCAGTGTTGCCGTTGCACATAATTGAAAATCCCTAGATGGTCAGAGATTTTCCGCTAGATTTGGGTAAAATAAATTTACTAAAATCCGCTACATGTCTCTAGACTTGGCGGTACTTCCATGCTTATTTGAAAATCGAATTTGATTCACAAACAGTAAATAAAATTGCAAATAATCACGACAATATGAACCAAAAAGCACTTATTTTAATTTAGTTTTGAACACAACAAACAAAAAATAATTATATTCATCTGTCATCTGAAAAAATTTCAATCATAAAGTTTGTCTTTCCCATTCCTAATCGTAACTAGCGAGAAAGGTATCAAAGGAACGAATGGGTGTGGTTTTGTTTATTAAAACCGTTACCGTTCAATTCGATTCTACGTTAGTGTTACCAGCGTTAGACTAGAAACTTAGCCGAATATTACTATTTTACTGTATTTGATTGACAGGTTATATTGTTTCTGAAAAGAGCCTAGCGGTCAAAAAAACGCTAGAAGTAGTTAAATATTTTTTTCTCGCTAAATCCAAATTTTTACCCGCTAAACATGCATAAAATCGCCTAGATCTAGCGACAAAGGTGCTACAATGGCAACACTGAAACGCACCTAAGCAGGGGATTCGCTTTGGACCTTTTGGAGGGAAAAGTGTCGTTTTTATTTTGACTTTCAATTATTTTGTGAAATCTAGTTCAAAGTGGAATAGGATAGTGCCTTAATCGAAGATTAAAACGCGAAATTATACGAATCTCGAACTAAAATACCCGTATCGGCCCGTTCTAAGGAATCCCGAGTCAATCCAAGCACGCTGCCTCAAATTGCCTATCCTCTATGTGGTGGCCATATTTACAGAAATATAATTAAACGTTTATATTTTCGGCTAAATTACTTTGTTTCCATGGCCAGAAATAATTTAAAAAAAAACCTAAGCAGGGGGTCTACTCTCGATCTCAACAATGCTTGACCAAATGAAAAGACGCGTGATGCGAATGAATCTTCATACTTGATACTTGTCTTTAAATTTTGTCGAATATTATTTATTTGACAGTAATTGTTTCGGACGGATGTCGGACGGAGATCGAGAGTAGACCCCCCCCCCAGACACCATGTGCGGCCACAGAGTGCCACAGACATAGGATATGTCTGTGGGTGAGACTGAGGGTCGTATTCTAGAACTGTACTCAATGCTCAACTCAGGATTTGAGTATGGTTTAAAGCACTCGAAATCATACTCAAGTCCTTCCCATTAGGGTTGTATTTCCAGTGCTTCAAATCATACTCAAGTCTGCTCAAGTCAGGACTTGAGTATGATATATAGCACTATAAATCATACTCAAGTTCTTGCCATTAGGGTCGTATTTCAAGTGCTTGAAATCATACTCAAGTCCTAACTTGAGCATTGAGTAGAGTTCTGGAATACGACCCCTAGACTATGGAAAAAAAAGTTTTCCGTCCTTTAAGGGTGAGGCCATTGAGGCACAGGCTTTTTTTTTTCCATCGTCTAAGGCACAGGCACACACACGACAACAGCCAAAAACAAAAACATTTTTGGCTTGGCTACAAGTCCTTAAAACTAGGTCTTCATTTTAGATTTCGGGATCCTCATTAAATACTTTCTATTGTGTTTTTAATGGCGAAAAGAACTGGATTTTTTTAAACAGTTATCTTAAGCGACGGGAGTCATTATTTTTGTTTTCATTTTCACTTAAATCATTTATTTTTGCTTCACACTCCCTATTATAAGACGTTGAATTTTGAATACGGCTTATTAAATAGATTTTGCTGCCATACCATTTGCCTTCTCCTTCTTGATTTTGATCCTAGTTCCAAAAACTTTTACCATGCTGTCATATTTTACTCAAAATCACCAATCCATATTTGGCAGCAAAATCACTAAAGAATAATTGATTTTTGCAGCCAAAGTCATTAATAAAACTGCATAAAATAGTCACAAAAGTATACACTTTTTAAAATAATATTATTATAATACGAGGCCTGTATCCCACCTACGGTGGGGTCGGGCTCGGCCTGCAGCGCGTGGTCGGTTTCAGTTTACGGGGTGTGCTCATGCTCTTCGGTGGCACAGCGGTTAGTATTATGGGCACTTGATGAGGAGGTCGATTCCCGATTTATGCCGATTTAAGAAACGAACATTTCTAAGTTGGTTTTGGTCTGAGTATTCTGGGTTATCGTTGGTTTGGTATTCATAGTAATAGTACAGGAAATTCGGCAGTAGTTTGCCATTTTTTCCCCTAAATACTTCTCTTTCGCATAGCTTTCAAGAAAATGAAATCTCACATAGAGACGGTTGAGATACAACAACACTATAATAAGTATCTCATTTCCACTACATCGGGAAGCATGCTTTACATTTTTACAATTGTGAGATCTTTTATTCGTAATCTATTACGTCTCCGTATGTTATCTCCATTTGATGGCGTGAGGACGCTTCGGGCTTTGCCCTCCGCGGACCTCGGCCTCCGGCCTCGGCTCTTATGGCTTTGTTTTAAAAAAATTGAAAATGCTCTTTAATGACGGCCATATTTAAAAATTGCAAAAATATATTTTGACCACTAATTATCATCAAACAATCTTAAAAATCATTTCGTGCCAATTTTCAGTCCGAAAAAGCAAGATTTTTCAATAGCCATTTACATAAAAAATTACGGCTATATCGAAACGGCAGAAACAAAACTTTTACCTCAAATTGTGATTGAAGCCATGCCATTTTAAGAAATTTTTATCTACCGCCAAAAAAGTTTGTATGGCAGCCATAATGAAAAATGGCGACAAATAATTTTTGACCGCTAATTATTATTAAACATTCATAGAGAACCCGACATGTCCACTTTCAATCGAATTAGAGCAAACTTTTATCTGGCGCTAAAAAAGTTTGTATGGCAGCCATATTGAAAAACGGCGAAAAATAAATTTCGTCCGCGAATTATTATCAAACACGTATAGAGATCCCCACATATCGATTTTCAGTTGAATCTAATTCAATATTTATTAGTTGTTGAATGGCAGCCATATTAAAAAATATCGTAAAACCATTTTTGAACACAAATTATTATCAAGCATTCCTAGAAACCCACACATGCCAATTTTCAAAGGGATCAGAGCATTTTTTTCTGGGGCCAACAAACGCTTCTATGGCGGCCATATTTGAAAATGGCGAAAAACCAATTTTAACCACAAATTATTATCCGGCACTTCTAGAGGCCTCCGCATGCCAATTTTCAGCCGAATCAGAGCAAGTCCGTTTCGCAGCACTTTTGACGAAAACAACGCTTATATGACAGCCATATTAAAAAAAGGCGAAAAGAAACTTTTAACCCCAAATTATGGTTAAGGACTCCTAGAGACCCCCGCATACGAATTTTCAGCCGGATCAAAGCAAGTTTTTCTTCAGCCGCCATTTTGAATTCGCAATCTTGTTTTTTTAACCCAGGCAGTTGACGACTATTAATCTCTATGACATTCCTTCGAGCACCTCCTACCTATCTCTAATAGTTTCCGTGATAGGAGACTTTGAAATTTGTATGGCGGCTATCTTATTTATTTGAATTTCGAAAAATTTTTACTTCCGGCGAAAATTGACCAGGGTGTACCTCATAAAAGTGCACAAATATTCCCTCCATATATTATAGGTTTTGCAGGCCGTTGATCACTCTTTCCTATTTTCCACATTTAGGTCTTCCCATATTTGATTCTTTGCTTTGGAATCTATCTGCGTACAACGGTATAAATATCTTTTTTCCACCATATCGGGAAGTATGTGTTCTATTTCTATCAGTGAGTAAGAACTTGTAGCTTTATATATTATATATATAATAATAATAATTAGAGCTTAAAATAAAAATAATAATAATAAAATAATAATAATGTATTCTTCTTTTTCGTTGTGCTTACTGGCGGTGCTGTTTTTAATGTTTCGCCCATTGACTTATTGTAAGTCAATGGTTTCGCCAGTAGTGTTATTCTGTAAAAATAATATAAAAATTATGGCGATCGTCGCCAATGTCAGTTCAATAAATTAATAAATTATTTATTATGCTCAATGGATATCCATGTATCGCATACCTATTAATAAATACTATTATTATAATCATCAAAATGTTACCATATTGACTAGCGACATCCTATGATTACTGCTCGCACCAAAAAGGCGGAGATACACAATGACATGTTATTTTCTTTCAACAGATGGCGGAATGTTTGTGTTTTATCGCAAACCACCTAAAAAAATATTTCACAAAAAACATTTATAAATGTAAACGTTTGCATTGCAGTGACAGGTTTTAATACATACAATATATATAAATCAATTTATATATGGTATTACTGGCGTAGAAAGCAGCGTAAATATTTTAACGGATATATTTCTTATTTATAAATGGTATTTATGTATAAGTAATCAGTAAATAATTATTTACACCTAATTAAAATTTATGTGGACAGTCAATACTACAAGTTTTTATTTGTTCAGAGTATACAAATTGACATAAAACACAAGCAAAAGTATATTTTACATAATTTGTGGTACCTAATTAGAGTAGGTAAATAAATTTACTAGAGGGTCGCACATAGATCTAGTTATGTTAGTTTGAAGAGGGTACCTATGTATATACATACGTTCATAATGTAAGTTATACTTGTGATGTTTGGGTATATTATGTAACCAAATATTGTAAGGGGCCTTAATCACAGCCCGAAATAAATATAACAGATTCAATTTATACGTCAGTTAGGAATAAGGTCATAACTAAATTTGGCTAACCACACATACTGGCAGGTATTTAATGGATTCACTAAAAGGTTTTATAATTTACCACAATGGAAAGGTTTTGTATTTGTTTAAAGA